TGATCCAAGCCAGATCGGGTGCGAATCTCTGTCTGTCCAGTGCCTTGGGACGTCCTCCTGACGTGAAAGGCGCTGTGTAAATGTCATTTGTTGTTGGTTTATATCCTGTGAAGCGCATTGAGACGTCTCGAAGATGTATAAGGCGCCGTATCAAATGCAAGGATTACTATTATTATTAAAAGAGGGAAAGGAGGGGACCAGGCAGAGGGATTGAGGGAGAGACTGACAGAGTTTTGGGGCGTAATGGCTGAAAGAACGGCCACCGGTGTGGAGCAGAGGGGACGAGGGGCAAACAGAAGTCCGTAGCCAGTCAAGCAGAAGCAGTGGATAGTGGGTTGGGAGTAAGCAGGTCGGAGAGGTAGGGAGGTGCCAGGGAGTGGAGGGGTTTGAAGACCAGTGAGAGGATCCTGAAATCCTACAAATCCTTGTTTTCGATATAGTGCCTTATTACATCTCAAACGCTTTACAGGATATAGTGTAAAGTGAAGTGACCGGATATTTTGTGGGCCAAACACAGCAGCCAATTGCACACAGCAGCGTCCCACAAACAATCCTGGATCGAATGACCACATTTTTATTTATTTATATTTCATATATTTTTTTGAAGGGATTATCATCCCTGGAAAAGTGATCTGCCAATCACCTAACAACCGGGTTACTACTGACTGTTGGTAAACAGGCGTGCGGAGTAAGGAAACTTGCCTAAGGTTTCGCCCTGCCGGGAATCGAACCCAGGTCCTTTCACTTGCGAGGCGAGTGGTCTAACCACTGAGCTACAGGGCTCCATGATGGTGCTTCTATTAATGCAGTTGATGTGCTGGTTTTTGCTGTTAACAGCGTGTTGAAGGGGAGCAGCATTGATGGAAAGTTGAGATATTTTGGACGCTCTATCGATGGCTCTCTGGACCTGACTGGGGATAATCTGACTGACATCAGCGTGGGGGCTTTGGACCATCTTTTCATCCTTCGGTGAGACTAAGATCCTGACCCCTTCATTATAACCTGTACCTTTCCTCCTTGGGGCTAAACTGGCTACAAGTTGGAAGGTTGCAAATGTTACTCCCCTGTACAAAGCAACAACAATTTGGATTTATATAGCGCCCTCCATGCCGGATGGCGTCTCAGAGAGCTTCACAGTAACGGATCCCGGGGCAGAGGCACGGGGAGGTGGAGGAAGGTGACCAAAGGCGCAGTCGAACAGAAAGGTCTTTAGCAGAGACCTGAAAATAGGAAGAGAGGGAGCGAGACGAAGGGAATAAGGAAGGGAGTTCCAGAGCCTCGGGGCATAGTGGCTGAAGGCACGGCCGCCGAGGGTGGAGTGGAGGACTCAGGGGATGAGGAGGAGGCCAGACCCAGAGGAACACAGGCAACGACAGAAAGCATAGAGTGGTTGCTTTTCTGACTGGAGGGAGGTGTGTAGTGGTGTCCCTCAGGGGTCGGTATTGGGACCACTGCTCTTTCTGATCTATATTAATGATCTGAATCTGGATATAAGGAGCACAATTTCCAAATTTGCAGATGATACTAAGCCAGGAAAAGTAGTTAATAGTGAGGAGGACAGCACCAGACTCCAAGAGTACTTAGACAGATTGGTAAAATGGGCAGAAACGTGGCAGATGAGAATTAATGAGGAGAAATGTGAAGTGTTGCATTTTGGTAGGAAGAATGAGGAGACGCGGTATAAGCTGATGGTACAATCTTAAAGGAGACAAATGAACAGAGACCTGGGGGTCCACATAAGCAAATCTCTGAAGGTGGCCGGACAGGTAGATAAAGCTGTTAAGAAAACATATGGGATACGATGCTTCATAAATGGGGCATAGAATACACAAGTCAGGAGGTTATGTTGAATATTTATAAAATGCTGTTAGTCCTCAGTTGGAGACTCCGTTCAGTTCTGGGCACCGCACTTTAGGAAAGATGTTTGGGCATTGGAGAGGGTGCAAAGGAGGTTTACCAGAGTGGTCCCAGGAATGAAGGACCTTAGTTATGAGGAGAGGTTAGCGAAACTAGGATTATTCTCCCTCGAGCAGAGAAGATTAAGAGGGGATTTAATAGAGATTTTCAAGATCATGACAGGATTTGACAGGTTGAATGGGGAAAAACTGTTTCCACTGGTATGTGGGTCAGTAACCCGAGGACACCGATTTCAGATAGTTGTTAAAAGAAACAGCGGGGAGGTTTTTTTACCCAGTGAGATGTTGGGATCTGGAATGCATTACCTAAAAGGGTAGTGGAACCCAATTCAATAACAACTTTTAAGACAGAAGTAGATGGGTATTTGGGGAGGACAGGATTGTGGAGAGAAAGCGGTCCAGTGGGATTGAGTTAGATTGCTCTTTTAGGAGCCGGCGCAGACACCATGGGCCGAATGCCTGGATGTCGTGTGTGTGACACACACTGGATGTCGTGTGTGTGAAACACGCTGGATTCCGTGTGTGTGACGCACGCTGGATGCCGTGTGTGTGACGCACGCTGGATGTCGTGTGTGTGAAACACACTGGATGTCGTGTGTGTGATGCACGCTGGATGTCGTGTGTGTGAAACACGCTGGATGCCGTGTGTGTGATGCACGCTGGATGCCGTGTGTGTGAAACACGCTGGATGCCGTGTGTGTGACGCACGCTGGATAATAATAATAATAATATGTCGTGCGTGTGACACACGCTGGATGTCGTGTGTGTGACACGCTGGATGTCGTGTGTGTGACACGCTGGATGTTGTGTGTGTGACACGCTGGATGTTGTGTGTGTACCCAGTTCTCGGCCAGTGCTGCAGTTGAAGGTCACGGTGACGTTCACTCCTGACAATATAAGCCCATTGGACGATGGGTGTTCGGCCCCCGCAGCGCAGGGCACACCAGTAACCGCCAATGTCTGCTTCACCATCATAAAGGACATCCCCGACACACTAGGTTTGTGTCACTCCTCTCTCCTCTCTTTCTCTATCTCTCAGTCTCTCTCTTCTCTCCATCTCCTCTCCCAGTCTCTCTCTCGCTCGCTCTCTCTCTCTCTCTCTACTCAGTCTCGCTCTTCTCTCCATCTCCTCTCTCTCTCTCTACCTCTCAGTCTCTCCCTTCTCTCCATCGCTTCTTTCAGTCTCAGTCTCTCTCTTCTCTCCATCACCTCTCTCTTTCCCCCATCTTCCTCCTCTCTTCTCTACCTCTTTCTCTCTTTATTTTCTCTCCTCTCTCTACCTTTGTCTCTCTCTCACTCTGTCTCTCTCTCTTCTCCCTCCTCCTCCCTCCCCTCTCAGTCTATCTCTTTCTTCTCTCTTCCTCCTCCCCTCTCCCTCCTCTCTCCCCACCTTCCTCCTCTCTCTTCTCTACCTTGTTCTCTCTCTTCTCTCCTCTCTCTACCTCTCTCTGTCTCTTGTTCTCTCTTCTCTCCCTGACTTTCTCTTACAGCTTCTCTTTGTCTACCTCTCTATCTCTCCTTTCTTTCTCTCTCTCTCTCTCTCTCTCTCACCATCTCTTTCCCTCCTCTTTCCCTCTCTTTTCTCTCCTCTCCATCTGCTCTCTCTCTATACATCTCTCCCTCTCTTCTCTCCATCTCCTCTCTTTCTCTCTTGGTCTCTCTCTTTCTATCCTCTCTCTCCTGTCGTCCCTTTTATTCTTTTTTTTGGGAATGGAATTAGATATTTCCCATGGTGGAGGGATGGAAAGAGATGGAGCAAGCGAGCAAGGAGAGAAGGAGAGATGAAGGGAGGGAATGAGAGAGGGAGGGAGGGAATGAGGGATCGAGAGGGGGTGAGGTGAGGGGAGGATGAATGGAGTGAAGGATTGAGGGAGGCATGGAGTGAATGAGGGAGGGATGGAGAGGCAGTGAGGGAGGGATGGAGAGAGGGAGGGATGGGGAGAGGGTGGGATGGAGAGGCAGTGAGGGAGGGATGGAGAGAGGGAGGGATGGAGGGACGGAGGGATGGAGAGATGGAGGGATGGAGAGGGAGTGAGGAAGGGATGGAGAGAGGGAGGGATGGAGAGTGGGAGGGATGGAGAGAGGGAGGGAGGGGGGCAGGGAGGGATGGAGAGAGGGAGGGATGGAGAGTGGGAGGGATGGAGAGAGGGAGGGAGGGGGGGATGGAGGGAGTGAGGATTGCAGACAGAAGCTGAACGTTTTGCTGGGTGCTGGTATAAAATGTCTGCCTTGTGTAAACAGGAAATCTCAATGTCAAAATCTCCTATCAGCTGGCTCTGGACATCGCCCGAAAAATCCAGCGAGCAGAACTGGGGAGTCAGAGGAGCGGGACACAGTCCGTTGATACAGGAAGGAAAGAGGCCTGTGTAAAAACCCAGATAAACGTCAAGGTACAAGCCAGGAGTCCTGTAGCTCGGTGGTTAGAGCACCAGAGGACCTGGGTTCGATTCCCGGCCGGGGCAAAACCTTTGCCAAGTTTCCGTACTCCACACGCCTCTGTTTACCCAGCAGGTCAGTAGGAACCCAGTTGTTAGTCGATTGGCGCATCGCTTTCCAGGAGTAATCCCTTCCCCCAAAACAAATTTGGTCTCTCAATCCACGACTGTTTGTGGGACACTGCTGTGCGCAATTGGCTGCCACGTTTCGCCCACAAAATATACAGTCACTACATAGAGACGTAGGGTACAAAAGCAAGGAAGTTCTGTTAAACCTAAGTCACTGGTTAGGCCTGAGCTGGAGTATAGTGTCCAATTCTGGGCACCGCACATTAGGAAGGATAACAAGACTTTGGAGAGGGATCAGAGAAGATTCACCAGAATGTTACCAGGGATGAGGGACTTTAGTTATACGGAGAGACTGGAGAAACCGGGATTGTTCTCCTTAGACTAGGGAGGGTTGAGGGGAGGTTAAATAAAGGTGTTCAAAATTTTGAGGGGTTTTGATAGAGTAAATAGGGAGAAACGGTTTCCTCTGGCAGTAATCAGGGGACATAGAGGAAAGATAATTGTCAAAAGAACCAGAGGGGGAGATGAGGAGAATTTTTTTTACACAGAGAGAGTTGATGGACCGAATGGCCTCCTTCTATGACAATGTACATTTATACAGTGCTTCACTGCGGAAGGACAACCCAGGGAATGCTCAGTTGGAGATTAAAATCCCTTTTGTTGTGACTCAATGGAAACCCACTTCCACATGAGATTTAAAGTCCGCTCTCTGTCAGCCCGGCTCAGTCGCTGTGTGTCAGCCCGGCTCAGTCGCTGTGTGTCAGCCCGGCTCAGTCGCTGTGTGTCAGCCCGGCTCAGTCGCTGTGTGTCAGCCCGGCTCAGTCGCTGTGTGTCAGCCCGGCTCAGTCACTGTGTGTCAGCCCGGCTCAGTCGCTGTGTGTCAGCCCGGCTCAGTCGCTGTGTGTCAGCCCGGCTCAGTCGCTGTGTGTCAGCCTGGCTCAGTCGCTGTGTGTCAGCCCGGCTCAGTCGCTGTGTGTCAGCCCGGCTCAGTCGCTGTGTGTCAGCCCGGCTCAGTCACTGTGTGTCAGCCCGGCTCAGTCGCTGTGGGTCAACCCGGCTCAGTCGCTGTGTGTCAGCCTGGCTCAGTCGCTGTGTGTCAGCCCGGCTCAGTCGCTGTGGGTCAACCCGGCTCAGTCGCTGTGTGTCAGTCCGGCTCAGTCGCTGTGTGTCAGCCCGGCTCAGTCACTGTGGGTCAACCTGGTTTAGTTGCTCGCTTTCTGGCCTCCGAGTCAGAAGGTTATGGGTTTGAGCCCCACACGTCAATGACTTTATAGCTGGAATCACACAGCCTAAACAGATGCTACATCGCAGCGCTGGGGAGAGAGAGAGAGAGAGACGGAGAGAGAGACGCATTGTCAGAGACACCGAAGAGATGTTCAACCTCACTCCCCATCCGCGCCCTGCTCAGGCGAACGTTAAAGGTCTCCCACGGCGCTGTCGAAGGGGAACGAGAAGGGAATTTCTCTCTCTCACACTCTCTCTCTCTCTCTCTCTCTCTCTCTCCTAGCCTTGTATCCTGGACAGCCTGAATCCCATTCTGTTGCATGTGGCTGCCTCGGTGACAGGAGAGAAGATCTCAGGTCAACGGAATCTGATCCCTGTGATGAAAGGGGGTGAAAACATCACCCACACAGGCACGGTGAGGTTTCAGCCACAATAACCTGCGCTTACACTGCACCGTCTACATAGGGAGGCACTGACAGGGGAGAGGGAGGGAGAGGGAGGGAAGAGAACAAGAGAAGGAGCGAGAGAAAAAGAATGGGGGAGAGAGTGGGGGGGAGAGGGGCAGAGAGGGAGAGATAACACGGAAGGGAGGGAGTGGGGGAAGCAGAGAGAGGGAAGGAGAGAGCAAGAGTGGGAGAGAGAGGGGGAGTCAGGGAGAGAGAGTGAGAGAGAGAGGGACAGGGTGAGAGAGAGAGAGAGTCATAGTATGGGAGGGAGGGGGCGAGATGGTGAGGGACTGGGAGTGAGATGTGGGATAGAGCAAGAAAGGGAGAGAGAGAAAAGGGCGGTGGGGTATTGAGTGAATGAGAGAGAGTGAGACAGAGAGAAGAAAAGAGGGCGAGAGAGAGAGCGAGAGAGGATGAGGGAATGCAGGAGAGTGGGAGGGAGAGGGCGAAAGAGGGAGGTAGAGGATGAGAGAGAGGAAGAGTAAGGATAAGAGAGAGGGGGAAGGGAGAGAGAGGGAGGATGAGAAAAAGAGAGGGTGAGAGAGTCTCATTCCCTCACACGCACTCTTTCTCTCCCTCTCTCATTCTGTCTTACACACTCCCCCTCCCTCTACCCTCCTCTCTCTCCCTCTCTCACACTCTCTCTCTCTTATTATTATTTATTATTAGCTGCTGTTTAAGAAGCAATGCGGCTCTGATGATATCTGCACTGACCAACTGGAGGTGATGTTTGATTTTCAGGGGTAAGGATCGAGCAACTCGTTCTCTTTACCTCAACCCAGAACTCTACGCACACACACACACTACACACACACACTACACACACACACACACACTACACTACACACACACACTACACACACACACTACACTACACACACTACACACACACACTACACTACACAACACACACACCACACACAATACACACCACACACTACACACACACCACACACACACACACACACCACTACACTACACACACTACACACACCATACACACACACTACACACACCATACACACACTACACACAACCACACACACTACACACACACACACACTACACCACACACACACAACACACACACACTACACACACTACACTACACACACACACTACACTACACACACACACACTACACACAACACACACACACACTACACACACACACTACACACACACACACACACACTACACTACACACACACTACACACAACACACACACACACACACTACACACACACACTACACACACACTACACTACACACACACACTACACTACACACACACACACACTACACACACAACACACACACACTACACACACACACTACACTACACACACACTACACACACACACTACACACACACACTACACACAACACACACACACACACTACACACACACACTACACTACACACACACACTACACTACGCACACACACTACACACACACACTACACACACAACACACACACATACACAACACACACACTACACACACACTACACACACACTACACACACACTACACTACGCACACACACTACACACACACTACGCACACACACTACGCACACACACTCACACTACACTACACACACACACTACACACACACTACACACACACAACACACACACACTACACACACACTACACTACACACACACACTACACACACACACACACGCTCACACTATACACATACATACATATATACACACACGCACACACACATGCACACACACACACGCTCGCATACATACATAAACACACGCACACATACACACATACATACATACACACACAAACACATACATAGACACACATACATACACAAGCACATACATACACTCACACACACAAACATACACGTGTACATGCACTCACACACATGCATATACATACACACACACATACCGACACACAAACACACATACATACACTTCACTCACTCGTCATCACTCGCTCACTCACTCACACACACACACTCGCACGCATACACAACTAATAGACATATCTATCTTGGGTCCTGAGCTGCGAAACACAATAAAACACAGAACTAAACTAAAATAAATCTGATTACTGAGATCTGAGATAGAGAGAGACTGACAGAGAGAGAGAGAGAGTGATCGAGAGGGAGACTGAGGGAATGAGACAGAAAGAGAGAGATGCGGGGAGAGAAAGTGAGATAAATAGAGAGAGAGAGACAGAGGGAGAAACTGAGAAAGAGAGTATACTGAGAGACAGAAGGAGAAACAGAGAGAGAGAGAGAGAGAGAGACATACACACACACACAGAGGAAAGATGAGAAACAGAGAGAAGGAGAGACAGGAGGAGAAACCGAGAGAGAGGGAAAGAGAGAGACATGAGCAGGAGCTAACCGTTGCTTTCTGGAACAGTGTTGTAGACTGGATGAACCGCTTTGTATCATAAGTCACCTCGGCGTTAGTTTCAAGGAGATGTTTTGACTGAAAGACACATGTATAAGCGGGTGAGTGATCAATCTCTCTCCCCTGCCACCTCCTCACAACAGGACTGCCATTAACATCAGTCTGACACACACGGAAACCCGTCACCGTGACCAGCCGGTGTCTGACACACACGGAAACCCGTCACCGTGACCAGACGGTGTCTGACACACACGGAAACCCGTCACCGTGACCGGCCGGTGTCTGACACACACGGAAACCCGTCACCGTGACCAGCCGGTGTCTGACACACACGGAAACCCGTCACCGTGACCGGCCGGTATCTGACACACACGGACACCCGTCACCGTGACCGGCCGGTGTCTGACACACACGGAAACCCGTCACCGTGACCAGCCGGTGTCTGACACACACGGAAACCCGTCACCGTGACCGGCCGGTGTCTGACACACACGGAAACCCGTCACCGTGACCGGCCGGTGTCTGACACACACGGAAACCCGTCACCGTGACCGGCCGGTGTCTGACACACACGGAAACCCGTGTTTCCTAAAAGAAATCCATCTCATTTGTTCTTGAAAGAATCAACACTTTCTGCTTCCAGCGTCTCCTTAGGGAGTCTTTTCCATAGCTCTCCTCCGTCACACCATCGATGGCCACGCTTTCAGCCGCTACAGCCGGGCTCCACTGGCTCCCCATCACCGAACCGATCAACTTCAAGATCCTCACACTCGTGTTCAGATGCCTTCACTTTCTGGCACTTCCCGATCTCTCCAACCTCCTCACTCCCCAGTCCACCACCCGGCGTCTCTGCTCGACTGGCACTGCCCTCCTGCTCGTCCCTCGCACCCTCCGCCCCACCATCGGAGGTCGCGCTTTCAGCCGGTACACCCCAAAACTCTGGTACACTCTCCCTCAATCCCTCCGCCTTGCTCCCTCTCTCCCCCTTCAAGTCAAGTCTGAAAAGCTTCCTCTTGGACCGTGCTTCCGTCCACCTCCCACCCCCACATCAGTGGCTCGGAGTCAGGCTCCGCCACTAGCTCTGAGACACTACCCTGCGTGGAGGGCGATGTGTAAGTGCAAGTTGTTGTTGTAAAAGCGCGTGGTTGGTGTAATGATGAGCGGCTGTACCTGCTCTAATCCCTTTGTCTTGATGACTCCAGAAACGTGGAAGACTACAGTCTGAGCGATGTCCAGGGTTGCCAAATCACACACCTCCACGAGCCAAACCGTGACCTGTAACCCACACAGCACAAGCCTCAGGCAAGGGGCAGCGTCTCAACGGTACAACCATTTAACAGTGAAAGTCCTGTAGCTTTCTTTGGAGTCCTGTAGCTCAGTGGTTAGAGCACTCGCTTTGCAAGCGAGAGACCGGAGTTCAATTCCAGGCAGAGGGCGAAACCTTGGGCAAGTTTCCTTACTCCACACAGAGCCTAATAATAATCCCTCCAAACACCAAAACAATAATAAATTGGTCATCTTCAATCTACGACTGTTTGTGGGACATTGCTGTGCGCAATTGGCTGCCGCGTTCGCCCACAAATATACAGTCATTTCACTTCACAGTGTGTTCTGTGAAGCGCTTTGGGACGTCCTTCCGACGTGAAAAGCGCTATATCAAATGCAAGGATTATTATTATTAAATCAGGAGGCAGTTTTCACGCACACACACAAAGGGGAGTGGAAATCTGGAACTCTCTCCCTCCCCCAAAAGCCTGTGGATTTATGGCTGAATCCATTCACATTGTCCAGACTGAGATGGAGAGATAATAATAATAATAATCCTTGCATTTGATACAACAACAACAACTCAGATTTATATAGCGCCCCGACGTCTCAGAGCGCTTTACAGTAACGGATCCCGGGGGCCGAGCTGGGGGGGGGGCGGGGGGGGGAGGGGAGAGGAGAAGGTGACCAAGGGTGCGGTCGAAAAGAAAGGTCTTCAGCAGAGACCTGAAAATAGGAAGGGAGGGAGCGAGACGAAGGGAGTTCCAGAAGGGAGTTCCAGAGCCTCAGGGCATAGTGGCTGAAGGCACGGCCACTGAGGGTGGAGCGGAGGACTCGGGGGATGAGGAGGAGGCCAGACCCAGAGGATTGAAGGCAACGAGTACTGTTTTGAGGAGAGAGGAGGTCAGAGAGGTCGGGGGGTGCAGAGGAGCGCAGGGACTTGAATACAAGGGAGAGGATCTTGAAATCGAATACAGCACCTTATCACGTCTTTGAGACATCTCAAAGCGCTTCACAGAATAAACTGTAAAGTGAATTGACTGTATATTTTGTGGGTGAAACACGGCAGCCAATTGCGCACAGCAGCGTCACCCTATTAAATTATTATGTGTTTAAGGGATTATTATCCCCGGAAAAGCGATCCGCCAATTGACTGATATCCAGGCTCCTACTTACTACTAGATAAACAGGCGTGTGGAGTAAGGAAACTTGCCCAATGTTTCGATCTGTCTGGGAATCAAACCCAGTTCCTCTCGCTTGTGAGGAGAGCGCTCTCACCACTGAGCTACAGGACTCCATCTTTAACACCAGTCCACTTTAAACAGAAACAGTACATTCTGTTTAGCGCTTTGAGACGTCTTGAAGACGTGATAAGGGGCTCTATCAAAAACAACAATTGTTATTATTATTATTGGAGTTGAAGTACAGATCAGCCATGATCTAATAGAATGGAGGAACAAACTCGAGGGGCTGAATGGCCTCCTCCTGTTCCTATGTCAGGGCCAATCACAATTCAGCCTGTCTGCTTTCTGAGGTTTTTAATCGGGTTTATTTGTGGATATTTTAGCCATTTGAGAGTGCTTATAAATCACATCTTTTTGGCGCTGTCCTTTGGATGAGACATTAAACCGAGTTAAACCAAGATCCCCGTCTGTGCCCTGTTCAGGTGGACGTTAAACATCTCTCTCTCTTTCTCAGTCTCTCTCTCAATCTCTCTCTCTCTCACTCTCACTCACTGTCTCAGTCTAACTCATTCACTCTTACTCTCTCTCAGCACCTTTCATGTCCCTGTCTGTGTATGCCAGTGTCACTATGTGAGATGCGGTTACTCACCGGGGAGCTTTTCTCGTTACTTGTCTGGTTACTGCGTCTACATTTTATATTGGTGAGCTGAGGAAAGAAAGAGAATGACTGGGTGAGCGAGAGAGAGAGATAGACTGAGAGAGAGAGAGAGAGACTGAGAGAGATACTGAGAGAAAAGACTGAGACAGAGAGAGACTGAAATAGAGACTGAGAAAGAGACCGAGATAGAGACTGATAGAATGAGAGAGATTAAGAGAGAGAATGAGAGAGACAGAGAGACTGCGAGAGAGACAAAGACAAGAGAATACGACAGAGAGACCGATGGCCTGGTCGAAGAGGAGGGTCTTGAGGTGGGACTTGAAGGAGGCTAAGGAGGGGGAGAGGCGGAGTGATTGGGGGATGGAATTCCAGAGGTTGGGGGCAGAGTGGCTGAAGGCTCTCCCGCCAATGGTGGGGTGGATGGGTCGGGGGACGTGGAGCAGCCAGAGCCGACTGAGGGGAGGGAGCGGGTGGGTTGGTAGGGGGTTAGGAGGTCGCAGAGGTAGGGTGGGGCGAGGCCATGGAGGGCTTTGTAGGTGAGGACCAGGATCTTGAACTGGATCCTCTGAAGGATAGGGAGCCAATGGAGTCGGGCGAGAGTGGGGGAGATGGGGTCACACAGACAGACACAGACAGACAGACAGACGGACAGACAGTCGTCACTCACATCGTTGCTGCTGATATTGATCGATTCCCAGAAAATGTTCGGTTTCATGGCAATGGGAACCTTAAACGTCAGAGTCACGGGGAGGCTGACCTGACCCAAGTTCTCAACCTGTCGGGCATCCAACCAGCCTGATATTACACCCGTCCTCGACCCCATCCCCGATCCAAGCCCCGACCCCAACCTCATCCCCAACACCAACCCCATACCAACGACATCCCGAACCCAACCCCATTCCGACCACATCCCGACCCCAACCCAATCCTGACCCTAACCCCAAACCCGACCCCAACCACAGCCCCGACCTCGACCCCAGCCCCGAAACCTAACCCCAGCCCTGACCCAAAATCCGACCCCATCCCCAACCCCAGCCCAACCCCAGCCACAACCCCAGCCCTGACCCCAACCCCAGCCCTGACCCCATCCTCGAGTCCATCTCCAACCCTAACCCCGACTGCATCCCCGACCCCAAACCCGACCCCATCCCCCATTCCATCCCCAACCCTAACCCCATCCCCAACCCCATCCCCATCCCCGATCACATCCCCGAACACAGCCCCAACCCCAACCCCAGTCCCGAACCCAGCCCCGACCTCAACCCAGCCCCGACCTCAACCCCAACCCGAGCCCCGACCCCAGCCCCAACCACTCGCCCAACCCTAGCCCTGACCCCAACTCCAACCCTGACCCCAACCCCAGCTCCGACCCCAACCCCAGTCCCGAACCCAGCCCCGACCCCAACCACGGCTCCGACCCCGAGCCCAGCCCCAACCTCAGCCTCGACCCCAGCTGCGATCCCAGCTCCGACCCCAACCCCTACCCCAGGCCTGACCACAACCCCAACCCCAGCCCCAACATCAGCCCCGACCCCAAACTCCAGCCCCAATCCCAACCTCCAGCTCCAACCCCAAACTCCAGCCCCAGTCCCCAGCCCTGAACCCCAGCACCAAACTCCAGCTCCAACCCTAGCCCCAACACCAACCCCAAACCCAACCACAACCTCAGCCCCAACCCCCAGCTCCAATCTCAGCCCCAAACCCCAGCCCGAGCCCCAACCACAGCCCCAGCCTTAGCTAATTGATCAGTGTGAGGTGCTGTGAAGCTCGGAGATGTGTGCGGCGTGAGCGGTGCTGTATGTGGAACGCGAGACAAGTTACCTTGTACACATGTTCAATGGGCATCTGCACCTCTGCATTAGATGTGCCATTTATGTACTGAGTTGATTCTAATCTGAAGAGACATGAATCAATACTGGAGTAACAATCCGCAGTGACAGCCTTTAACACTGAAATATCTTATGTCTGTCAAGTTTGCTGACTAACACACAACTCACATACACACACTCCTATTCACACACACTTACACAGTCACAAACACACACACTTTCACAGACACAGATACACACACATACAGAAACACACACACACATATACGCATTCACACAAACAGACACACACAGACAGACAGATGCACACACGATATAGCGCCTGATCATATCTTTGAGAATCTCAAAGTGCTTCACAGAATATACTGTAAAGTGAATTATATTTTATAAATAGACACACACAAAGACACACACAGCCACAGACACACATATATACAGACATACACACACCGATAGAGACACACACAGACACACACACATAGATAGAGACACACATACACACAGATGAGGGAGTAGGAGGGTTACAGTATGTCACCTGTTAGGACACAAGGCCGGGGTGTGTGTGAAGCGTAGGGAGTGCGGGTGAGGGTGGGGGTAAAACTCACCCTTTCAGAATGACATTGATTTGAAACTGCACAGGCAGTGATTGACGGGCGGAGCTGTGTTTGGTATCTCGTTTTTTGTTCAAACTGATGGAAAGAAAGAAAAAGAGAACGATTTGGAATAACCTTGTTTTATAATAATAATCCTTGCATTTAATGTAAGGAATTATCATGTCATTGGGACGTCTCAAAGCGCTTCACAGAATATACTGCAAAGTGAATTGATTGTATATTTTGTGGCAGCCAATTCCGCACAGCAGCGTCCCACAAACAGTCGAGGATTGAGTGATCACATTATTAGTATTATTAACCCCGGAAAAGTGATCCGTCAATCGACTAACAAGCGGGTTCCTACTACTGCTAGGTAAACAGAGGTGTGTGGAGTAAGGAAACTTACTTAAAATAAGAACATAGAAACATAAGAAATGCTAGAAGAAAAAAGACCAAGGTCTCTCTAGTTTGCCTTCTATCTTCCTGGCGGTCGCATGTACATATGTTCCACAGGTTCACTATTCGCTCACTGATATAGGGGAGAGTAGGGGGAGGAGAGGGCGATAGGGGGGTGCAGAGAATTACCTAACAGCGTCCACATTAAATGTCACGCTTTCTTTCCAGTTGGTTTGGGACACGACATGAAAGGTGGTGAGTAACATGGCCTGCAGAGAGAAGGGAAATTCGAGGTAATAATCCTTGCATTTGATACAGCAGCTTATCACATCGTCGAAACGTCTCAAAGCGCTTCACAGAATATACTGGAAAGTGTAGTGATTGGGTGTTTAGTGGACGAAACGCGGCAGCCAATTGCGCACAGCAGCGTCCCGCAAACAGTTGTGGATTGATCGATGATTAGAGCGAGATAGGGTAGATGGATAAATTTTTAATAAAATAAGAAGGAGCATGTCTCAAAGTGCTGCCCAGGACTCGTTGTAAATAATAATAATAATAATAATAATAATAATCCTTGCATTTGATATAGCGCTTTTCACGTCAGGAAGACGTCCCAAAGCGCTTCACAGAACACACTGTAAAGTGAATTGACTGTATATTTGTGGGCGAACGCGGCAGCCAATTGCGCACAGCAATGTCCCACAAACAGTCGTAGATTGAAAATGACCAATTTAATTATTGTTTTTGGTTTTTTGGAGGATTATTATTAGGCGTGTGGAGTAAGGAAACTTGCCCAAGGTTTCGCCCTGCCTGGAATTGAACTCAGGTCTCTCACTTGCAAAGCGAGTGCTCTAACCACTGAGCTACAGGACTCCACGAAGTGTAGTGACTGTGTGTTTAACGTGACAGCCCCCCCTGTTTGTGCACAGCGATGTCCCTGTAAACAACTGTGAGGCGAGCGAACGGTTTTAACTATTGGCCGGGACGCTGGGGGAGAGAACGAGAGAAACACCCTTCTATTTTCAAACAGTGCCTCTGGAGATGTTTAATGTCCGCCCTGAAGGGGGAATGTGTGGGGAGTGAGTGAGGTTTGACGTCTCAGCCAAAGGACAGCGTCTCTGATGTGTAGATCCAGGCAAGAACAACACATGACAGTTACACGGCGCCTTTCACGTCGGGAGGATGTCCCAAGCCGCCGGACAGTCAGGGATTTGGACCCGAGCTGGGGGTTGGGATCAGGAGGGGTGGAGGGTGGGGAGGTTGGGGGTAGGAGGGTGGCGGAAACCACAGTCTAAGGGGAGGGTCTTGAGATGGGCCTTGAAGGAGGCGAGGGGCGAGGCGGAGGGACTGTGGGATGGATTTCCACAGGGTGGGGGCAGAGAGGCTGAAGGCCCGACCTCCGATGGTGGGGCGGGCTGGGCGGGGGATGTGGAGCAGGCTGGAGCTCGCTGAGCGGAGGGAGCAGACAGGTTGATATGGTAGGATGTGTCTCACCCTAGTGTGAGGTCTGAAGACAGGGTGGTTGATGCTGCAGATGATTTTCCCGTTCAGAGTGATGTCGGAATTTTTGGAGGCGTCACATATGACAGTCACTGGTCTGGAAGACTTTAACAAAGAGATCACACACGTTCTGTAATCATCTGGAAATAAAACCCACCCACAGACACTTCCTGCCCCAACAGAGCCAGAGCCAGAGCGCTGTGCATGTGTGTCTATGTGTATGTCTGTATGTGTGTGTGTGTGTGTCTGTCTGGTTATGTGTCTGTCTGCGTGTGTATCTGTATGTGTGTGGGTATCTGTGAGTGTCTCTGTGTGTGTGTCTGTGTCTGTATGTGTGTGCATCTGTGTATGTGTGTGTATCTGCGTATGTGTGTGTATCTATGTATGTGTGTGTGTGTGTGTGAGACCATACATTCCACCTACACATGGAAATTCCCGAGTTGTTTGTTGGAATGGAATGCATTCTCTCTCCCTCTCTTCCTGCGCAAAGTGTTAGGCACAGGTTGGCGAGAACTTGGGGGGAAGGCTTGGGGGGACCCCAGAGTGTGTGTTGGGGTAACTGCTGGAGTGTAACCGGCTAAACCCACACCGCTCGGCCATTGATATCACTGTCTGGCAGCTTTCCCGCTGCTTGTCCAGCGAGGACCCCCCTCCCCGTTAGTTAGGGCTTTGGCTGTGGGGTTACCAGGAGCTGAGGGGAGGATTCCCGGCCCTCAGTGACTGGTCGGCCCTTCCAGGTCCTGCTGATGAGCCGGGCCGGGCTGTGCTGCCATCAGCAGTGAGTGCCCCGGGACACCGCGGCCCCTCCTGGTCAGGAACCGGAATGGAGACCGGCACGGGGGGGGGGGGGGGGGTCGATCTGACATTCTCTTACCAGGCATTTTGGATTACAATAATAATAATAATTCTTGTATTTGATGCTCTGGTTAGGCCTGAGCTGGAGTATTGTGTGCAATTCTGGGCTCCACACTTTGGGAAGGATATCAAGGCCTTGGAGAGGGAGCAGAGGAGGTTTACCAGAATGTTACCAGGGATGAGGGACTTTAGTGATGTGGAGAGACTGGAGAAGCCGGGATTGTTCTCCTTAGAGCAGAGAAAGGTTAAGGGGAGATTTAATAAAGGTGTTCAAAATTACGAGGGATTTTGACAGAGTAAATAGGGAAAAACTGTTTCCACTGGCGGGTGGGTCAGTAACCAGGCACATAGATTCCAGGTAATTGACAAAAGAACCAGAGGGGAGATGAGACATTTTTTTTACCCAGAGTTGTTACGGTTTGGGGTAGGAGCGGGGGAGTGAGACTAGTTAGCAGCTCTTATGGCCTCCTTCTGTGCCGTCAGATGCTATGGTTCTGTGTATCTCACCTGAATGACGTTTGTTTTACGAAATGAGAGACCGGCGGGGATGGAGAAATGCAGGTCCGTGGAATAGGAATCCTCCCCCTTGTTCTCCAACGTGGTATTGATGAGCAGCACTGACGATGGGCTGACAATCAGAGAGCGAGCCCTGGGGGAGAGAGGGGGGGGGAGAGGAGGGGAGAGAGGGGGAGAGGAGGGAGAGATATAAGGGGGAGAGGTTGCGGGAAGGAGAGAAGAGGGGGAGAGAGCGGGGAAAAGAAAGGGAGAGGAGGGGATATGAGGGGAGAGAGAGGGGGGAGGGAGGGAGAGAGGGGGGAAGAGGGAGGGAAAGAGGGAGAAAGAGTGGGGAGATAGGGAGAGAGAGAGGGGAAAGAGAGGGAGAGAGGGGGGAGAGGGGAAGAAAGAGGGAGAAAGGGGGGGTGAGATAGAGAGAAAGGGTGGTAGATAGAGAGAGGGGTAGTGCAGAAGAGAGAGAAAGGGAAGGGAGAGAGGGGAGAGGGGGAAGAGAGAGAGAGAGGGAGTCAGAGGCTTGGGGTCGGATCCCCTGTTTGACAGCTGGCGGGTGCTGTTTCCCCCCCACCCCGTTCACACCCAGCACCGCGGGAGCTTTACCTCACAAACAGGAGCAACAACAACATTTGTATAGCACCTTTCACGTCAGGAGGATGTCCCAAGGAGCTGGACAGTGACAGCATTCCAGACCCGAGCTGGGGTCAGGGGGGAGAAGGGAGGGGAGGGGGAAGGAGGGTGACCGATGTTCGAGAGGAGGGTCTTGAGGCGGGACTTGAAGAAGGCTGAGGAGGGGGTGAGGCGGAGTGATTGGGGGATGGAGTTCCAGAGGTTGGGGGCAGAATGGCTGAAGGCTCTCCCGCCAATGGTGGGGCGGGTGGGTCGGGGGACGTGGAGCAGCCAGAGCCGACTGAGGGGAGGGAATGGGCGGGTTGGTAGGGGTTAGGAAGTGGCAGAGGTCGGGTGGGGCGAGGACATGGAGGGCTTTGTAGGTGAGGACCAGGATCTTGAACTGGATCCGCTGAAGGATAGGGAGCCAATGGAGTCGGGCGAGAGTGGGGGAGATGGGGTCACGGAGTTTGGTGCGGGAGAGGACACGGGCTGCAGAGTTCTGGAGGATCTGCATCCTGTGGAGGGAGGAGTTGGGAAGGCGTTTGCATAGTCGAGCGATGAAGGCGTGAACAAGAGTTTCAGCGCCTGAGGGGTGAGGCAGTGGCGGAGTCGGGCGATGTTACGGAGGGGCAGGCGAAGGGATTGAGGTTTTGTCTCTCTCCCCCACCCCCGCTCTCCCCCCGCCCCGCCCTCAGCCCTGGCCTGGCTCTGTGACTCTAGTTGTGTGTCTCTCTGGGTGTGTGTACGTCTATGCGTGTCTCGGGGGGGGGGGGGGGGGGGGGATGTATGTGTGTATATGGCTGTATGTGTGTGTGTCTATCAGTGTGTTTCTCTCTATGGGATGGGTGTGTTTGTCTGTGTGTGTGTCTCTGTGTATGAGTGCGTGTGTCTCTTATGTGGGTGTGTGTCTGTGTGTATGTGAGTGCGTGTGTGTGAGTGTCTGTGAGTGTGTGTATGTGAGTGCGTGTATGTAGAGCGTAGAGTCCTGTAGCTCAGTGGTTAGAGCACTCGCCTCACAAGTGAGAGACCTGGGTTTGATTCCCGGCCGGGTGAAACCTTGGGAACGTTTCCTTACTCCACACACCTAATAATCTCTCAAAAACAATAATAAATTGGTCCCTTCAATCCACGACTGTGTGTGGGACGTTGCTGTGCACAATTGGCTGCCGCGTTTTGCCCACAAATATAAAGGCAATTCACTTTACGGTCTATTCTGTGAAACGCATTGAGACGTCTCGAAGATGTAATAAGGTGCTATATCAAATGCAAGGATTATTATTATGTGTGCATGTGTGTGTATGTGAGTGTGTGTGTGTGTATGTGTATGTGAGTGTGTGTATATGTGTGTGTGTATGTGTATGTATGTGAGTGTATGTATGTATGTGTGTGTATGTGTGTGAGTGTACGTGTGTATATGTGAGTGTATGTGTGTGAGTGTATATGTGAGTGTATGTGTGTGTGTATGTATGTACGTGTGTG